ATTATTATTATTATTATTATTATTATTATTATTATTATTATTATTATTATTATTATTATTATTATTATTATTATTATTATTATTATTAAATTAACACGCTCTGATGCTAAGGAGTTCTACTCCCCTTCCCCACCTGAAAAGAAATCTCTTCCAGATGCAAAACGCAAGCAGAGGAGTTTCAATTTCACAGCACCAAGCAGCTTTAGTACAGAACAGTTGAGCTAAGTCACGCCCAGGCTCCTTGCTGTCTCCTTGTTGCTCACACAGCAAATACTGTTTCAGTTTCCAAACAGCCCTCAACTCTCTCACACCCTGACAGGATGCTAGCCAGATGAATAACGATGGGTACTGGTAGGCAGAGGCAGAATTCCCCCCCCTCATTTTCCTCCCCAAAAACTAAGTCCAGCCACATAGTTTCGTAGTGAAGCATGGGTCTCGAGCTAGTAATTTAATAATTGCTATGATTCACTTGACAATTGTGGCAAGAAAGGGCTAAAATAGGGCAAATCTCACTTAATTGTCTCGCTTAGGCAGTTCTCGAATTGCAACAATTCATTTAGGGGTGAATTAAATTGATTGCAGGGGAATCCTCAAGTTTGGACAGTTTATTTGGAGATGAATTGATTGCAACAGTTTAGGGATGAATTCATCAATGGCAAATCTCAATTTTTGAGATTTTATTTAGAAATTGATTGAAGATCGTCCCAGAATTGCAACAGTTTGTTTAGGGATGAATTAATCGATTTTAAGTAGTCCTCAATTTTCAACCGTTTACTTAGAGATGAATTAATTGATCATCCTCGAATTGCAACAGTTGGTTTAGGGATGAATTCATCGATTGCAGATAGTTTTCGATTTACAATGGTTTAGGAATAATTCATTGATTGTTGGTAGTCCTCAATTTTCAACAAATTGGCTTCGGGATGAATTAATTCATTGCAGAGACTCCTCAATTTACAAGAGTGTGGTAATGATGAGGCAGTCGAGTTGTTTGATCATGAACAACTGAATCATGATGATTTTTATTGGAGTCTAGTCTTGCATTTATACACATTTTTAGTTATCCTCCATCATTGGTTAACTTTGGTTACTGCTTAACTTTTGTTACTGTTTAGCACAGTAATCCATACAATTAATTATCTCTAGTTAAAGTCCAACATATGTTTACTTCCTCTCTCTAATCCTCCTTTAGATTAGTAACTTTGTTTGCCTGAGTTGTATTTGCTTGGAAACATTCTTTATCTGAGGTTTGCCATCTGAACATTCCTGCAATTACAACTCTACACAAGAGTTTATTTGGAGATTAATTCTTTGCAGATCGTCCTCAAATTGCAACAGTTCATTTAGGGATGATTTAATCGATTGTAGATAGTCCTAGACTTAAAACAGTTCATTCAGCGACCGTTCAAAGTTATAACGATGCTGAAAAAAGGGGACTTATGACCCCTTTTCACACTTACGTCTATTGCAGCAGCCCCATAGTCATGTGAACAAAGTTCAGCTGCTTGGCTACTGACTCATATTTATGACAGTTGCCGTGTTGGTGAACTTCTGAAAAGCAAAGTCAAGGGCGAAGACAGATTCACTTAACATGCATGCGACTCATTTAACAACCGTAAGGATTTGTTTAAAAAGGGTGGCAAGAAAGGTCGTAAAAGGGGGCAAAACTCACTTAACGACCATCTCGCTTAGCAATTTAGGACTCCACTCTGGTGGTAAGTTGAAGAATTCCTGTAATAATTAATGATTCATTACCGTGTTCCCCCCAAAATAAGACCCTGTCTTATATTCTTTTTTGCCACCCAAAAAGGCACTAGGTCTTATTTTCGGGGGATGTCATCCACTGACTAACCTCACTTGTGTGCATCGCCCCACAGGCCTCCTTTTTGCTGTCAGATCAGGAATTTCTTCTTCTGCAGCCGGCAAGGCTTTCTTGAAGGCCTCTGCAGCCGATAATGGACCTCTGGATCGATCCTGAGCTTTTCTCTCAGCTCCGGAGGCCTTCAGGAAAGCCTTGCCAGCCTTGACGGCTGCCAAAGAAATGGGCTAGCAAGGCAGGTGTCGGGGTGTGCGAGGCCTGGCTACGACTGCCCAAAGGTAAGTAGTAGGGTATCCCCCCCCCCACATCCCCACCCTAGCTTAATTTTTACCTGTGCACTCTGGAGTGGATGGGGTCTTATAGGGCTTATTTTGGGGAGTAGGGCTTATATTGGGCACACATGTAAAAATCAAGCTAGGACTTACTTTCAGGGTAGGTCGTATTATCGGGAAAACTGGGTAATTATTAATAATTGGAGGGGGTCATGAAGATGGTGATGATGATGGTGTTTGGGGGGGTGAGTTTGTCTTCCCAGATAAGTCACCCTCCCCTGAAAGTCTTACAACAACCTGATCAGGTAGGCCAGTGCAGGAAAGAATCTTGACCCTCTCAGACCAAGAGAGGAAGTTGGGATGGCCATCCGTCCAGAACTCGCTTAGAGACCGTATGAAGTTAACAAAAAGTGACTTACGACCAGCTCCTGCACTTACGACCCACATTATTTACGACGGATCAAAGTCATTTTTGGGGAAGCTGGATTCGCCCAACGACCGCACAGTTCACTTAACAACTGCAAGTCGTGTGATTGGCGATCTTCCCAGCCGGTTTGTAACAAGTCAACGGGAGAAGCCGGATTCCTTGGACAACCATGTGATTCATATAACGACTGTGGTAAAAAAAACAAAAAAAGGATTGTAAAATCAGGCATGGCTCCCTTAATGTCCGCCTCACTTAACGATGGAAATTCCAGGCTCCATTATGGTGGTTAAATTGAGGGCTATCTATAATCAGATTTGGAGGGGTGGGATCAGGTACCAGAGCTCAGGCAGGGAAGCAGATGGGGTATACGACTCTCTTGCTTAGCGACGGAAATGTCGGTCTCAATTTTGGTCGTAATTTGTATTTTCTCAGTCTTGGCTTAGCAGTCCAGACATGGTCTCTCCACCTCGCAGGGTGGATGCAAGATCGGATTTTCCTGTCCCAGCTGTGGGCCTGATCCTTTCAAAATTTAGTCCTCAACTTACAAACAGTTCATTTAGTGACCATTGTAGAGTTACAACGGCACGGAAAAAAGTGACTTAGGACCGGTTTTTCACAGTTGCCACCTTTCCAGCATCCCCATGTTCACCTGATCAAAACTCAGATGCTTGGCCACTGGTTCACACTTACAACAGTTGCAGCCTTTCTGTTCTGTAGTCCTTGTCTTACAACGGTTCGTTTAATGACTTGTTTGAAGTTACAACGGCACTGCTAAAAGGCACTTGGGACCATTGCAGCCTCCCCATGATTCACATGATCAAAATTCAGACAACATGACAACCGTCTCACATTTACGACGGTTGCAAACATCCCTGGGTCATACGATCCCCTTTTTGCGACCTTCCGATAAGCCAAGTTAACCAGGGGAGGGGGAGCCAGATTCACATAACGACCGGGTTACTAACTTCTCAACTGCAGTGATTCCCTTAACCACCCGGGGAGGGAGGAGGGCCAGAACGGTCGTAAAATGAGGCAAAACTCAACCAATTCTCACTTAACATACATTTTGGGCTCCACAGCAGCCGTAACTCGAGGACGACCCAACAGAGGGGGTTAAAACCTTCAAAGATAAACTGATTTCCTCTCCCTCCCAAAATAGAACCTGGGTTTGTTTATTGATTTATTTTTTTAAAGTTGCACCCTATAAAAATCATGTGGTTGTTCTTATAGTGTTTGTTTGTTATTGTTATTATAGTGATGATGATGATGATAATAATAATTGTCCCTCTGGATCATTTATTTTATTCTAAGAAGGAAGGTTGCCCTCCCCCTCCCCCAACATCACTTCTTCCCCCCCCCCCCCCCAGGAAAAGAGAGTTATTGCAAAAATTCAGGGGATTTGAATTTGAATTTTATTTTGCAAAAAAAAGGGAATGTTCTTAGGGTGGGGAGCATCTTCCATGCGTGTCTTGTGTCTTGTGTATGCCACCCCCCCTCCACGCTCTAACCCCACCAAAAAAAAAAAAATACAGGGAAGAAGGAGACGGCGATGGGGAAAAAATATTGCTTGTCTGCAAGGAAGCTGGGAATGTTGGCTTGCAAGGAGTTAAACCTGGGTCCTTTTTCTGCT